AGTTGGAAATCTTCAAGAACATATCTATTAAAAAGCAGCTTTCTCCATAACTATGTTAAAGAGAATCACTCAAATGTGGACTGTTAAGTAGTAATTCTGAGTTAGCGTCCAGGTCTTACAGCCATATATCATTATAGACCTTACAATTATTTTACAGATTCGGAACTTTGTGTTCCTGTGCATATCCCTAGATTTGATGATATAGGCTTTTGCATACTAAGCTCTGTTGGCCAGCAGTATTCTTCTTCGTATATCCCCAATCTAGCTTCCAGCTCTCGCCAGCTCCATTCCAATTTAATCACAACAAGTTGGAAATCTTCAAGAACATATCTATTAAAAAGCAGCTTTCTCCATAACTATGTTAAAGAGAATCACTCAAATGTGGACTGTTAAGTAGTTATTCTGAGTTAGCGTCCAGGTCTTACAGCCATATATCATTATAGACCTTACAATTATTTTACAGATTCGGAATTTTTTGTTTAGAATCATTTGGGTTTAGCCGCACGTCTCTAAAGACGGCTAAACCCGAATGATTCTAGTTCTAGGTATAGTGTTAGTTCTAGTTTTACACTAATACTATCACTAAAACTAACACAAGATCTAGAACTAGAATCATTTGGGTTTAGCCGCACGTCTTTAAAGACGGCTAAACCCGAATGATTCTAATTCTAGGTATAGTGTTAGTTCTAGTTTTGCACTAGTAGTATCACTAAAACTAGCACAAGACCTAGAACTAGAATCATTTGGGTTTAGCCGCACGTCTCTAAAGACGGCTAAACCCAAATGTTTCTAGTTCTCGGTCTAGTGTTAGTTTTAGTTTTACACCAGCACTATCACTAGAGTACTACAGATATTCGTAACTCATGTCAAAGAGTACTTGGTAGAAGACCACAGCCAGGGATAATGGTGCGGTACATCTTATGTTGTATCCAAAATCGTTTAATTTTGAGTTGAATTGAATGGGAATGTGCTAGATTCGACTTGGTTTCAATGCAGATGCGCTAGATTTGACTTGGGTTGAGTGTAGATTCACTGAGGTTACAATGTGTTAAGTTGTTGAAGTATTAAGTTTGAGGGAAAATTTGTTTAGCTTAGTTTGAATCGATATGTACTGCATTTGACTTGACTTGAGTGGAGATGCGATGAGATTATGCTTAGATTGGGTTGGATTGAATAGATATGCGCTAGATTTGACTTGGTTTTAGTGTAGATGGGCTGAGTTTACGATATGTTAAGTTTTGAGATGTGCTTAAGTTGTGCTTATATTTGGGTTGGGTTGAGTGTGAATGGGCTAGATTTGACTTGACTGTAGTGAAGATGTACTAAGTTTGCGTTGTAAATTGCTGAAATACTAAGTTTAAGTGAGTATGGGTTTGGGGTGCTGCATTTGACTTAATTTGATCGAAAATGCGCTGTTATTGTTCTTGGATTTGGGTTGGTGTGGACGATATATTTTGTGTAAACCTGTTAAGTTTGCGTTATTTTGGGTTGCTGATATTTTATGTTTAAGTAGATGTCAATTTTATGTCGGTGTGAGTAGGGTTGTGCTGGATTTGAGTGGAAATATACTAGGATGATGTTTGAATTGAATAAGTTGCTGATATAAGCTCGAGTTGTAGTGTGCATAACCATAATCTGTTAATTTAGACTTGGTTTGAGTAGTTGTAGTATTGGGTTGAGTTGAAGCAGGAAAATATTTCTCCTCGATACAACAATTGAGTATATGAGATATGTATGGTAAAGTAAGCGGAAGTGTAAGTTTTAACATATCCATAGATATACCATCATGACCAACAGAGCTGCCATTCATATTCATCACTAAGCTTAAAATTGTATCTTTATCCACAGATCGAAGTCGGAATATACACCCAATATTGTTGAAAGTACTACTATTATAAAACGATTCTGAATGAATGTTATCGTATTGACTATCTTTATTGCATTTATGTTTCTTAAATGAACTGGAAGGCTATTGATACACACTCCAAATTCTTTTTTGATTAGAGTTTTTATGTAAATGCTCAAAATATGCTTTCTTTTCAGTATCAATAGCAAAATTAGTACAATTTCTCAATTGAGACATTTGCTTGCTACGTTTATATTTTTTTTTTTAGCTTTATCTCTCAAATTTTGTAACAACTTAATATTATTCGTTATCCAAGGTTTCCTAGGTTTCGAAATTCTAACTGTCCTCACTCAAGCATGAGTGTCAAACAAATTCAATATTTGATCAATAAAAAACTTTAATTTATCATCAACGGACATTGCAAAAATAGCCTGAAATGGTATCAGGCTTAATTCAGCAACGAAGGAATCATAATTAAATGAGTTGAAGTCTCTGTATGTGTAACAAAACGAAGATGGTTTAAGCATTGCACAGCTAAATCGACAAAAAAGCAGTTCATGATTCCAATACTATAGAAGAATCAGACACCACAATAACATCAATTGTCTTCATCGAATTATCAGTAATTTGGGTAGGCTGACCTTTTAATTGAGTCATATCAAGTGTTTGAAACATATTCAACAATCTTGCAACATAATTGTTGCTAGTATCAAGAAGATCAATTTTTCTATAACCTATTAATTTAGACTTGGTTTGGGTAGTTATAGTATTGGGTTGGGTTGGGTCGGGTTTATGTAGAGATGCGCTGGAATTGTGCTTACATTTTGAGTGATTTTACTGAGAATGTGGTTCTCCTTTTTCATTTGCCTCACAGGGCTCTTTCTAGTTTTACCTTCTTTTTACCTCTCTATTCATAACTGTCGTTTTTTCTAGTTTTTGGACCCAAGCATATTCTTAGCGTTCCTCGTCCTCAAATCTGGCTCTCGGCCTTCCCCTTACATTGTTCTGTTAAGCAGTTATTATGAGTCAGCGTCCAGGTCTTACAGCCATATGTTATTATACTTACAGCATATGTTAATTAAGAGAATCACTCAAATGTAGACTGTTAAGTAGTAATTCTGAGTTAGCGTCCAGGTCTTACAGCCATATATCATTATAGACCTTACAATTATTTTACAGATTCGGAACTTTGTGTNGGTCTTACAGCCATATGTCATTATACTTACAGCATATGTTAAAGAGAATCACTCAAATGTAGACTGTTAAGTAGTAATTCTGAGTTAGCGTCCAGGTCTTACAGCCATATATCATTATAGACCTTACAATTATTTTACAGATTCGGAACTTTTTGTTCTTGTGCATATCCCTAGATTTGATGATATAGGCTATTGCATACTAAGCTCTGTTGGCTAGCAGTATTCTTCTTCGTATATCTCCAATCTAGTTTCCAGCTCTCTCCAGCTCCATTCCAATTTAATCACAACAAGTTGGAAATCTTCAAGAACATATCTATTAAAAAGCAGCCTTCTCCATAACTATGTTAAAAAGAATCACTCAAATGTGGACTGTTAAGTAGTTATTCTGAGTTAGCATCCAGGTCTTACAACCATATATCATTATAGACCTTAGAATTATTTTACAGATTTGGAACTTTGTGTTCTTGTGCATATCCCTAGATTTGATGATATAGGCTATTGCATACTAAGCTCTGTTGGCCAGCAGTATTTTTTTTCGTATATCCTCATCCAGCTTTCTCCAGCTCCATTACAATTTAATTACCACAGGTTGAAAATCTTCAAGAACATATCTATTAAAAAGCAGCCTTCTCCATAACTATTTTAAAGAGAATCACTCAAATGTGGACTGTTAAGTAGTTATTCTGAGTTAGCGTCCAGGTCTTACAGCCATATATCATTATAAACCTTACAATTATTTTACAGATTCGGAATTTTTTGTTCTTGTGCATATTCCTAGATTTGATGATATAGGCTATTGCATACTAAGCTCTGTTGGTCAGCAGTATTCTTCAACGTATATTCCCAATAAGGCTTCTCCAGCTCCATTCCAATTTAATCACCACAGGTTGGAAATCTTCAAGAGCATAGCTATTAAAAAGCGGTCTTCTCCACAACTATGTTAAAGAGAATCATTCAAATATGGGCTGTTAAGTAGTTATTCTGAGTTAGCGTCCAGATCTTACAGCCATATATCATTACATACCTTACAATTATTTTACAGATTCAGAACTTTGTGTTCCTATGCATATCCCTAGATATGATGATATAGGTTATTGCATACTAAGTTTTATTGGCCAGCGGTATTCTTTTTCGTATATCCCCAATAAGGCTTTCAGCTTTCTCCAGCTCCATTCCAATTTAATCACAACAAGTTGGAAATCTTCAAGAACATATCTATTAAAAAGCAGTCTTCTCCATAACTATGTTAAAGAGAATCACTCAAATGTGGACTGTTAAGTAGTTATTCTGAGTTAGCGTCCAGGTCTTACAGCCATATATCATTATATACCTTACAATTATTTTACTGATTCGGAACTTGGTGTTCCTATGCATATCCCTAGATTTGATGATATAGGCTATTGCATACTAAGCTCTATTGGCCAGCAGTATTCTTCTTCGTATATTTCCAATCTAGCTTCCAGCTCTCGCCAGCTCCATTCCAATTTAATTACCACAAGTTGGAAATCTTCAAGAACATATCTATTAAAAAGCGGTTTTCTGCACAACTATATTATAGATATTTTTGGACAAGTTGCAAAATGTCTTATGTCTAAAATGGCACTTTCCGAGAATTAATAATTAATATATTTCCACATAAATTAACTTTGTATTCATATCATCTCAAAAACATTATTATTTTTCCTCTACTTTTCTTATTATTAATACTGAAGTAATTTGTATCGTTCCGGTAGAATAATTCGTCCCATTTAATAATTGAATCCTTCATCTCAATTCTTCAACTCTCCGGTTTCAATTTTCTGAACAAATTTTTCATCGCCGCTAAACGAATATAAAAAAAATAAACGTTTCAATCACGTCGGGGAATGAAAAGAATCGCTGGCAACGTCCCTCTTGGTTAGTTTGGTCCCTTTTTTCGTGTAGGACGCACGTTCTTCACGGCACACCAGAAGGAACATATGGCCGGCTGTCTTCGGTCTACCCTTTCCTACCGGACGAAAAACCGACGCACACTGAAACTAAATACGGTGGAAGTCGACGGAGAGAAGCCGCAGTCAGCTTTAAGTCTTTGCTGCTAACGCGTACGCAGCACCGCGTTTAAAATATCCTCGGGAACGATGCGACTTCTTACGAACGAAGATTATTTACGCGGTTTGTTTGATTATTTACGTGTTAGTGTTAATAAAGTATAAACATTTTTTTGGGAAAAAGTAAGTTATATTTTTGTGATTATAATAATCGACTTGGTGGTTGAGAAAGTTAAATTCGCTTTATTTGTCTTAAGATCCTTCATTTTAATCTAAGTTAGCGAGATGTATCTGTAAAGTTTGTTCCAGTTTCTAATAGTTAGATTTGAATCCGGAAATAAAAGCTACTATGACTCTAAATGTCATTGTTATAACTTTGAAGATAAATGAAATAGTCATTAAATTAATTTCTTTACCTTAATAAACACGTTCTAAATTTGAATTAATTTTCTTTCCATTAAAATCAATAATTTAGAACATTTCCGGTTCATTGCAACAATTACAGTCTCTTCTTCATTAATTGTAAGCAAAGTAACTTTCTAACTTCAGTTTTGAGACAAACACCCATTCATTTTCTCTCTTACTTCATTGTTTAGTTAGGTCTTGAGGACCACCTCAAAACAAAGCTAAAGTGGTGTAACATGATCCTCTTGTATCGTATAACCACCAAACACTTGTTAGAATCATTTTGTTAAACCTAAACAAAAAAAAAAACGTTTATTTTTTTCATTAAAAATCATGATAATTGTGGTTTCAATTACGACAAATACGATGTCTAGTCGTGTTAACGCGGCCAACAAGCTTAATTTGCAACTTGGCACGTTCTTGCGGTGAATTGGTAATCACGAACGTTGCTTTGTGTTTTTGCTTTTGGCCCCACACACATACACACTAATGTGTAATGTTGTTTTCGATGTGAATTGGTCTTAGTCTCGTGTTGCACGTGTTACCTTGTGCGATTGCATAATTATAGTTCTTTATGAACCGATTAGTTCAATATTACAGACATTAAACTGTGTGTGTTTATGTAACACCAACTCCGATTATTTTTTAATCATTTCTTATTTTTTTGCAGATGACGAATGCAACGTTTTTACTGCTACCTATTATTTTTACACTAACTCTTGCTTCAGTGTGTACAAGAAGGGAGCAGTATTATAACCATGATCTTCAAAGTTGCGTAAATTGCACGATATGCGATGATAAAAAAGGGATGGTTGTTTTTAGACCATGCGAAATTCACCAAGACACTGTTTGTTCGCCGTTTAGTAAAGTGGCAGCGATTGTACGTAGCGAAAATGATATCCATAATCATAGGCATCATCATATGAATAGGGACCATAGGAGAAAAGAAGAGCATCTTCCGATTGTTGAAAGTACGTTGCAAATTTCCACTGAGGTTCCATTTTCGAAAGTTGAAACACTCATTTGGGATTGGCAAGCTATCGCGTTGAGCGTTGCGATTTTATCTTGTATAGTTTTCTTTTTGGTGATTTCGATATATTCCCTTCATCAAGCAAGACAGTGGAGGAGGTTAAAAGAAAATTTTGAAGCTGGTAAGTTGATTGTAATTTTTTTTTGTTGAGTTTTGCTTAAAGTTCTCATAAGTTTCTTGAGGATTGTGTTGAATAACTTTCGAGTTGGATAACTTTACGTTTGGTGTGGTTTGTTGCCAAAACGCTTACCTTAGCTTATAACGACGTCTAGCAACTAGGAACGACGCATTGTTAAACCGTTCCGGACGGGTCCGCCTAATGGGAAAAGCGCTCTGTTTGTTTTTAGTTTGCAGACGGTTTTGTAGTCGTGGCAATAATAAGTCCGTGCTTAAATATAGATCTGGGACATGCTGTTGAGCGCGGCCGTACGGAAAATTAGCGACAACTATAAATTTAAACCTTCTAAAACCATTTATTAACACTCCGTCTACATCTAAAACCAATGCATTTAATCGATTCAGAATCATATTTGTTTATTATTATCTCATTTTCATTTTTACCCACATTTCTTTTTATTCTTCAATTTTTGTTATATATAATAAAATAGACTGAACAAGAACAAGGTCTTTTATCTTGTTGAATTCGTCCAATTACACTCGTTTCAGTTCATAGTCAAAGCATATTTCTCTTTGAACTTTTATTATTCTTGTTGTCTACGTGCTAAATTCCAGAGTAAACATATCTTGAGTTCTTAACATAATTATACTAAGCTATTATTAATGTTAAATATATAATTAGTTAAAAATTTAATTTTGCTCAAGTTCTATGTAAAATTTGTAAATCATAAAAGAATTTTCAAAATCTTGTGTTGATACGTAAGAAAACTTCTCGAATTGATGTTTATAATTTGATGTTTATACAAATTTCACTTCATTTTGTTCCAAGCCTCATTGACGTGGTATGGATATGAGCTGAACCTTATAAGGAGAAAGATTAGGAGGCCCTTCGTCAGAATTAGCTGCGTGGTGTTTCTCAAAATTTGAAATTCTAAACGATTCAAATTGATGTTTCTGGGTTTTCTCGACATCTCTTTCTGAAGCATTACCGAAATCTTTCCAATATTTTCAAAATCTTGGGTTGACGGGTTCCAGAATACTTCTGGAATTGATGTTTATGCCTAAAAACTATTTTCGAGACCACGCAGGAAATATTTCTCATCATTCAGGTTGGATTGATTATCATAGATGTGAGAACATCAAAATCTGCATCAAATTTCATTTCATTTTGTTCCAACACTCATTGACCGAAAGCTCCCAGATCTATTGATGTAGAGAATTTTTCAAAAATATGAAAATTAGAAGAGTGTTAAAAAAGATCGATATTTGGATCATGATACAGAAAAACTTTCACAAGAAAAGTTGTAGCAAATTGTACCCTTAACACAATGCCCTGTAACATATTTGCTCCCAAATGCATCAATGTAGAGAATTTTTGAAAAATATGAAAACTAGAAGAGTGTTTAAAAAAATCGGTATTCAACCATGATACAGAAAAACTTTGACAAGAAAAGTTGTAGCAAATTGTACCCTTAACACAATGTCCTATTACATTTTTGCTCCCAGATGCATCAATATAGAGAATTTTTCAAAAATATGAAAATTAGAGGAGTGTTAAAAAAAATTGGTATCCGGAGCATGATACAGAATGAGCTGAACCTTATAAGGATGAAGATCAGGAGGCTCTTCGTTAAAATGTGCTGCGTGATGTTTCTCAAAATTTGAAGTTCTGAACAATGCCGAATTGATGTTCAGACTGCAAAATCTGGCTCAAGTTCTATGTAAAATTTGTAAATCATAGAAGAGTTTTCAAAATCTTTGGTTGACGGGTTCCAGAAGACTTCTGGAATTGATGTTTATGCCTAAAAACTATTTTCGAGACCACGCAGGAAATATTTCTTATCATTGAGGTTGGATTATTTATCATAGATGTGAGAAGGCCAAAATCCGCACCAAATTTCATTTCATTTTGTTCCAAAACTCATTGGCCGAAATGACGGCGTTGTGTGTGGTGTGGATATGACTTAAACCTTGTAAGGATGAAGATCAGGAGACTTTCCGTCAGAATTAGCTGCGTGGTGTTTCTCAAAATTTGAAATTCTGAACGATTCCAAATTGATGTTTCTGGGTTTTCTCGACATCTCTTTCTGAAGCAATAGTAGTTCAAGTTCTACGTAAAATTTGTAAATCATAAAAGAACTTTCAAAATCTTGGGTTGACGGGTTCCAGAATACTTCTGGAATTGATGTTTATGCCTAAAAACTATTTTCGAGACCACGCAGCAGAGCTGGGTCGGATACAGGAAAAAAGTATTCGAGTACCGGATACCTACAATGTATCCGGATAGCTTTTTAAAAAAGTACGGATACTTTCTCCATAAGAGTATCCGGATACATGTATCCGGCAGTTTTCGGATACATTCTCAAATACTTTTAAAATGACCTAAATTATTGTTAAACTAATATATGTCATCCATATTTGACTTATAGTGACTCCTAATCTTTTCTCCTATATTTTTCTCGAGTGGTCTCTCGTTGGGGAAATTTAGTGTACACTTGCTGCGAAATGGGCTCTTTGAATTTTTTCTAAAAGGGGATATTTAGTGTACAACTACCTTCCAACATGTAAAGCCACAATTATTGATGTAGTCACAAAACATGTACAATAGTAAAAAAAATGGGGATTCAAACTCTCTGGTGTATATGTACGTTTGCGACAATAGAATAGGAAATAAAAAAACTCTATTAATAGGTATCCGAACACCGAAAAAAGTATCCGCATAACGTTACTTTCAGATTTAGTCACGGATACCGGATACAAAATTTAAAAAGTGTCCGCGTACAGAGTATCGGATACTCAAAAAATATCCGGGTACTGTACCCGGATACTACCCAACTCTACCACGCAGGAAATATTTCTTATCATTCAGGTTGGACTGATTATCATAGATGTGAGAATGCCAAAATTTGCATAAAATTTCATTTCATTTTGTTCCAACACTCATTGACCGAAAGCTCCCAAATCCATTAATATAGAGAATTTTTCAAAAATATGAAAATAAGAAGAGTGTTAAAAAAATCGGTATTTGGACCATGATACAGAAAAACTTTCACAAGAAAAGTTGTAGCAAATTGTACCCTTAACACAATGTCCTATTACATTTTTGCTCCCAGATGCATCAATGTAGAGAATTTTTGAAAAATATGGAAACTAGAAGTGTTAAAAAAAATCGTTATTCGGAGCATGATACAAAATCAGCTGAACTTTATAAGGATGATGATCAGGAGGCTCTTCGTCAAAATTAGCTGCGTGATGTTTCTCAAAATTTGAAGTTTTGAACGATGCCGAATTGATGTTCAGACTGCTAAATTTTGCTCAAGTTCTACGTAAAATTTGTAAATCACAAAAGAATTTTCAAAATCTTGGGTTGACGGGTTCCAGAAGATTTCTGGAATTGATATTTATGCGTAAAAACTATTTTCGAGACTACCCAGGAAATATTTCTTATCATTCAGGTTGAATTATTTATCATAGATGTGAGAAGGCCAAAATCCGCACCAAATTTAATTTTGTTCCAAAATTCATTGGCCAAAATGACGGTGTTGTGTGTAGTGTGGATATGAGCTAAACCTTGTAAAGATGAAAATCAGGAGGCTCTTCGTCAAAATGCGCTGCGTGGTGTTTCTCAAAATTTGAAGTTCTGAACGATGCAGAATTGATGTTTTTCTCAACATCTCTTTCCGAAGCATTACCGAGATCTTTCCAATATTTCCTATATAATAATTATTGAGACTGCTAAATTTTGCTCAAGTTCTACGTAAAATTTGTAAATCATAAAAGAATTTTCAAAATCTTGGGTTGACGGGTTCCAGAAGATTTCTGGAATTGATATTTATGCGTAAAAACTATTTTCGAGACTACCCAGGAAATATTTCTTATCATTCAGGTTGAATTATTTATCATAGATGTGAGAAGGCCAAAATCCGCACCAAATTTAATTTTGTTCCAAAATTCATTGGCCGAAATGACGGCGTTGTATGTTGTGTGGATATGAGCTGAACCTTGTAAAGATGAAGATTTGGAGGCTGTTCGTCAGAATTAGCTGCGTGATGTTTCTCAAAATTTGAAATTCTAAACGATGCCGAACGATGCTCTCTTGACAGAGATTTTCTCTCTGTCAAGAGAGTTTTGTCAAGAGTTTTTCTCAATCTCTCTTTCTGAAGCATTACCGAGATCTTTCCAATATTTCCAATATAATAATTATTCAGANACTAATATATTGTCATCCATATTTTACTTATAGTGACTCCTAATCTTTTCTCCTATATTTTTCTCGAGTGGTCTCTCGTTGGGGAAATTTAGTGTACACTTGCTACGAAATGGGCTCTTTGAATTTTTTCTAAAAGGGGATATTTAGTGTACAACTACCTTCCAACATGTAAAGCCACAATTATTGATGTAGTCACAAAACATGTACAATAGTAGAAGAAACTGAAAAAAAATGGGGATTCAAACTCTCTGGTATATATGTACGTGTGTGACAATAGAATAGGAAATAAAAAAGCTCTATTAATAGGTATCCGAACACCGAAAAAAGTATCCGGATACTTTCAGATTTAGTCACGGATACCGGATACAAAATTTGAAAAGTATCCGCGTACAGAGTATCGGATACTCAAAAAATATCTCTGCTCTACCACGCAGGAAATATTTCTTATCATTCAGGTTGGATTGATTATCATAGATGTGAGAATGCCAAAATCTGCATCAAATTTCATTTCATTTTGTTCCAACACTCATTGACCGAAAGCTCCCAGATCTATTGATGTAGAGAATTTTTCAAAAATATGAAAATTAGAAGAGTGTTAAAAAAGATCGATATTTGGATCATGATACAGAAAAACTTTCACAAGAAAAGTTGTAGCAAATTGTACCCTTAACACAATGTCCTATTACATTTTTGCTCCCAGATGCATCAACGTAGAGAATTTTTCAAAAATATGAAAATTAGAGGAGTGTTAAAAAAAATCGATATCCGGAGCATGACACAGAATGAGCTAAACC